ACACTCACTTAAAATTTGGTCTACAATCAGAAAGTACTTTTGGTGGCACTTTGGATCACTTCGGACTACTCTAATTCAAACCATTATTTGCTTCTTCTCTGTCTGACACAAAGTTTTGTGAATGGCTAAAGAAGGAGATCCACTCCTTAAAGGATCCTTTTATTGAGGATAAATTTTTTATTCCAACATCTACAAGCAAAGTTTTATCTATCTCAGTCCCGTCCTTTTAGATATTTCCAGATTTTGTTAGAAAAAAACACCTAATTTGTCTCTAACATATCAGGTAGTACATCAATGGATTCTATATTCTTATTCTATCAAAATGAGGGATCCTGATTCTTTACACTAAACTCCTATGTTTAAACAAAGCCACCTCTTTAAAAAGCTTGGATTATTTTCTCCTTTCTTGGAAAGGAGCTATGAAACGGGTGCACTCCTCTTTGGTCTGTTAGAGAAATAGGCTCTTTCAATTTAAAGTACTCCATCCTCTCCATTACTTTTATCTAAGGTAAAGCCCTGTATCGTAATAGAAATCCCACATGTGATAAGATGCAGCCAATCACCAGCGTCATTAGTCCATATGATCAGGCACTGTCAGAGAATAGTAAGATCCTGGCAAAAGATTTTCCAATTTTTTTAGACATCATAGGAAGAGTGGTTGACTCTAACCCTCTGACAGCTTTGGAGTTATAGGACCTGGTCTAGTTCTATCTCACTCTGGTACATGACGACATTTATATCTTTTCTAGCACTTAGATTGATTCCATTAAACTGGACGCAGGAAATATATCATGTAAAACCGACAGTTAGAAAACATGTCATTCTCATCGAATAGAATTCAACTTTATGGTCATTACTCTTTCACAAGTAGTAAAGCCTTGAGGAGCAGTGGGCTGCCATTGTGCGGCGCTCCAGGAGGTGTGGGATTAAGGGTTTTGCTCAGGAACCAAGGGTGGCAGTCTATGGGAGTGGGATTTGAACTCAGAACCTTTGGAATCAATTCAGCATAATTTTATAGATTACTTTAACAAGAGGAAACCAACTCTTCCCATAATTAAACCTGATGTTATTATGATAACAGCACTGAGCTACTCCATATCCACTTTTGATTTTTTTTCCTTTTTTTTCTTTTGAGTGAATATGTCATTGATATGTCAAATTTGTCAACCATTGAAAATTCATATAAAAAGAATGTTAAGAACACATAAAAAAAATTGGTGAAAGGAGAGCATTGAAGGAGATTTTCCAGGGCGAGTGGGTAGTGATTCAAAGATTTACTTTTTACACACAAATCAGGCAGCAATACTGCTTAAACTAGAAAAAATCATACAAAATACATACGTTAGCTTTACTCAGGTACCAAAATTTAATAGCTGGAGCTATTCTTGATATTGGATGATAACTAATGAATGATATCATCTGCTGTCAACGCCTCAACTGTTGTTAATAGTCAGTATGATTGTATTTATTTTGTTCATGTATTTTATATGGTGCTGTTTTGTATTTCATGCCTCATATTGTACAGCGGTTTGGGATGATTGTCTGAGAAAGGTGCTTTATAAATAAACCTCACTTACTTACTTACTTACTTATCACTCAACTGCCTGGACCCTGTATTTAAAAAATGGGTTATTTACAGTTTCAGTGTCATTTATTTTTAGTTTTTATATTTAGTTTTTATTTTCATATCACAAGTTATGCAATAACAACAAAAAATGAAATAAAATACAGAGGATGGTAGTTACAGCCATGGGTATATCCCATGTAATTATATAGAAATGTACAAAAATACTGATATACTAATATTGATGACCAAACACCAGTTATTATTTTGAAAAAAAAAAAAGTCTTGGCAAATACTGTTTGGGTTTTCTTACTTATATTTAAAGGGTAAGGAAACTGTGTCGAAAACATTATTGAATCCTTTTCTATTTATATTTTTTGCAAAAATTATTTAAAAAATTTTTTTTTAAATGATTGTTCCCTTGTAGAGCAAAAACACACAAGTGGTATCCATACCAGGACTTTGAAATAACTTTAATTTTAATAACTTTTCCTGTGCCTAACCCTTACAGTTAACCTTAACCATTAAAGGTTCATTCCTAACTGTAACATTAACATCAACCTACTTTATACCAGATGAAAAACCCTAATATTACATTGGGACTGGGTTTTTTTATAAGTAAAAAGCCTGTTGATTTTCAAAAGGTATGTGATTTTACTAAAAAGGTCCTGAACACACTATATAAACACAGATGGGGGCACTACCTAATGGATGTCTATGAGGTGCTGACAGAGCTTGTGTTGGAGCTTGTTTGTCACTTTTAATGGAGACTCAATGGACTGTGAATTGCTAATGATGGAGATCTTCCAGGATAACACACTTCTGGGAATTATTAGTATTTGACAAAAGTCTGGCTCATCAGGTTTTTCCAAGAACATTTCAATTAAATGTTTTAATCATGTTAGCTAAAACTTAAAGTAAAAAAAAACAAAACAACATATTTATTATTTACATATTCAGGTATGTTGCGTATAAAGTTTTCAGACTTAAAGCTATACAAAAGTGTTGATTCAGAACCACCTGTTCTTGCATTTTGTATTAGGTATGCCTTTTGTCTGACTTTACAGCAGAGACGGCAGTGGGAGAATATCCACTTCATGACAATAATCATTTTAAACAATTTGCACAGAGTCCTAAAAGGTTATGTTTTTGCTTGTCAAGTGTCTTTTAAACTGTCACAGTTTTTTTCCATTTAGCTTTGGTAGTACTCTTGAAGGAGGCTGTGTTGTGTCTGCAGCAACCATTGTCACAGGATGTAATTTTATCTTTACCAACTACAGGATTAGAATGTGGGTACCGATGTCAAGCGCACACCTTTCTGAGTTTGTTAAGATTCTGCAGCAATAAGAATGTGTCTAAGTGAGGATGATCAAACGCAGAGCTAATCTATAAGACTGGAAAGCGATTGCTGTGGTCGCATAGTGGTCTGTACTCTGAAAAGCAGAGGTCGTCATATGTGTTGTCCACATAGTGCTGGCAGGAGGGTTTTAACTTAGAGGAATCAACCTAGGGACCTCCTTCCTATCTTTCTGTAGGAGCAATAAGGTTGCCAGAACCCTTTACATGACAGGAGGGATGGGCACTACATCACAGGTTTTGACAAAAATACATCTTTTTTTACATCTACTCTGTGTGGCACATGCTGATTTCCGCAATTCCATAGCTTCATTTTGGTTTTGTGATGGAGAGCTTCAACCATTGGCTACATTTGTGTAATTTTAGTTGTTTTGTGATTTTTTTTTTACAGTTTTTGTACCTTTTGTAGTTGTATGCATAAAACTTCCCCTGCAGAAGAGCTCACTTTATGTGTGTAGGATATGTCCGTGCATCACGTCCTGAAATTTAGTGGATTCGGTGGATAACAAAACCATGACATTTTTTCCATCTCTGCTAGTATTCTACCAAAGATGGAAGTTCCACTCTGTCTCTTGGAGTAAAGGCGGATTTTACACTTTACACAACCATACCACTTCCTGATCCTAGTTCCTTCCCATCTACCAGAGCTATTCAGGTAGCACTTATGTTGACCCAAAACACACTTTTGCCAACAGCTCTAGTACCCTACTGAATTGTGATATAGATGGAGCCAAACAAGATGACAGAGTAAATGCTTTCAGGATAGGTTAAAGAAAACAATACTGAAAACATCCTGCTACTCATCAGTGTTGGTCCATGGAATAACTCGCAGAATAAACTTAACTATCTGCTTTTCTGAAACCAAAACTCTAGAAGATGCGAGGATTCACCTCAGAAATGATTTTACGCGTATAATGCTTTCTGAAGCAGGGCGTGGATCTTTTTCTTCCAATAAAACTGAAAACCATACCTCTATAAATTACCATCCCTTTTTATGGAGCTAGCTAATCAAATCATTGCTCTTAAAAAATATATATAAGTTGTAGGAAGTTGTAGTGTGGAGGCTGCAGCGCCTTCATCGGGGCTCCTCTTCCCTCCATTGATGACATTTCATCCCAGCGCTAGATATCCCAAGCCCGTAACCATCATTCTACCACCATGGACCTACATTCGCAGAATGTGCTGCAGGTCCAGCAGGTTCTGGAACAGCTTATATCATGCTGCCATCAGTCGAACGGTTAAACTCTAAACTGGATTCTACATCTTATTTTGCACAACCGAGATGCTGAACTTCTTAAATTATTTTACATAGGACACGTTCTACTGCATTTTTCAACATGTTTTCTTTTATCCTACAATGTTTATTCTGATCAATGCTGCACTTTATAAATGGTTATATTTATTTCATTGTTTAACAGTTAATAGTTGGAAACAGTATGCAACAAAATTTTTATTACATTCTGTGCATACAAAATGACAAAGTTTGTCTAAGTCTCATTAAATACCTGATAATGTAGAGCCAGTGTTAAAATCTAGATCCACACTATTCAGAAAAGCAGAATTATTCTTAATGCACCTTTTATCTCCTTGTTTGCACCTTCTTTAACTACTATGCCAATATATGACGAGTGAATTTCTCCACTGTGAGATCAATAAAGCTCATCTAATCTAATCTAATAAAAAAAAAAAAAACACTTTGTAATTAAAACTATCCGTCAATATGACCAATCATACAGTTTCCTTTTCCACATGTGCAGATTTAGTAGGACGTGAATAACAAGTTTTATTTGTTGCAAAAAATGACACTCGTCTTGGTTTGATGTGGATATTTTTCTGTTTGATAGTAATAAATGCATATTATGTACATTTGACAATGACCACTAAAATCCGAGGGTAAGATCAAATAAGTGTAAACTTGATATTGTGTATTTGAAATTATGACTTTTTAAAATAGAAAAATACTTACATTTTAAGGTGCCAGAGGCATATAAAGCTCAAATATGTGCTGCCATGTATAAAGACAAACTAACTCAGAATAAAATAACAAATACAAAATGAAAAACAGAAAAAGCAGTCTGGATTTCTGGAATAGAGGGAATTCTTTATTTAAATTTCATGGTGATAAAAGCTTTTTATTCATTACACAACATACACTAATATTTGTATCACACTACTGCTCTTTGCCTGAGGGTGTATAAACCACAGAATGCAAACATCAGTTCATGAGGACATGACATTAAAACAAAACATACTTGGTCCTGTGAGCTGGATTTTGGCTGGCTCATCACATCCTTAATCTGGCATTAACAGAACATACAGTATTCGAAAGGGACGAGAAAATGCACATTACATGAACAAAGAGACAAAAGAAAAGGTGGAGGTAGATGCACAATAAACTAGGAATGATGTGTATAAAGCCATGCACAGCTTTTTGATATTTATAGTCTGAAGGTATAGCAATACAGAGCTATTGTGGTTTTTCTTATGGGTGAATTAAAAAGGTATTTTGGTCTGTTTGCCACATTTTCTTACAACACAATCCGAGAACACATTTTGATTAGCAATATTTATGTGTTAGAATAACAATGCTTCTCATTCATGAACGGAATGCTGAAATTACAATAACCAGCTAGATATAAGAGGCTTATAATTTGAACATCCATTGTAAAATATTAGCTTCACTTTTTAGATAAAAACATGGCAGTTGAGAACAAACACCAAACACTAAGATTTAGCAAATAATTCAATTATTGGAGTTTTTCACATATTTTCTACTTAATCCTTATTTTTCACTCACATTTATGGTAATTATAATTATTTATTTTTTTTTACAATAGTAAACCAAATAATTATAGCATCTGAATGTTACACTTTTTTTAATGAACCTATTCCATTACATTTACTTTGCTCAAGGTAAAACAAAGTTACTTGTTTCCGTTTGTGATGCTTAATAATGGCAAAGAGAACAAAGCAACTCTGGTGATATTCTGAATGCAAATCAGAAGAAAAAAAATGACACCTAAAGCAGAAGAAACAGGAGCCTTACAGTACAAACTAGAAATATGGCGTCATTGAAACTTTCTTATGACAGTTTCACAGTCAGTCACAACACAAACACACTGGGTTCAGGATGGAATGATAAACATGTCTTTACTGGGACACTAAAGTATAAACAGGGAGTGTAATCAGAGATATAAGCATTTCTATCAAACTGCCAAAACAACCAAAACTGCAACTACAGCAACCACTGATCAACAATGACTTCTCAACGTGAAAATACACCTAAAATTTTTATTTGGATTTATCATTTACTTCTTGGGTTCCCTTGTCCTGGCAGTTAGCTACAGACACAGAAAATAAACGACCACTAGGTTTTCTAGAAGGAGGAAAGTAGCTGTGAACTCAGTTTTTCAGGATAGAGTCATACATTTGGTAGATGTAATGAGACACTTCAGGGGCCCGACACTTCAGAGAAAGCTGAAACAAAAAAAAACAAAACACAAGAGTATGAGTTTTTTTTCATATTTGGTGAAAATGTTAGTGCCTTTTCTAAGGATACAAATTCTGTATTTACACTGTGTGCAGAGTTATTAGGCAAAAGAGTATTTTGACCACATCATCCTTTTCATACATGTTGTCCTACTCCAAGCTGTATAGGCTTGAAAGCTAACTATCAATTAAGTAAATCAGGTGATGTGCATCTCTGTAATGAGAAAGGGTGTGGCCTAATGACATCAACACCCTATATAAGTTATGCTTAATTATTAGGCAACTTCCTTTCCTTTGGCAAAATGGGTCAGAAAACAGAAAAGAGATTTGACAGACTGACGTGTCAAACATTGTCAGATGTCTTTCAGAGTGGTGCAGCAGTTTGGAAATTTCCAAGCTTTTGAAGCGGGATCATCGCACAATCAAGTGGTTTATGGCAAATAGCCAACAGGGGCGCAAGAAGCGTCTTGAAAAAAGAAGACCCAAAATAACTCCCCATGAATTGAGAAGGATCAAGCGTTAAGCTGCCAGGAAGCAATTAGCCACCAGTTATGCCATATTTCAGAGCTGCAACATGTCTGGAGTGCCGAGAAGCACAAGGTGCTCAATACTCAGGGACCTGGCCAAGGTAAGAAAAGCCGAAAAAAGGCCACCTTTGAACAAGACACACAAGACAAAACGTCAAGATTGCGTTTTTCGCTATTTTGCCAGCAGGTTTGGACATTTTAAGTTAATTTGGGTATTAATTAACCTTTTCAGTGAAGTGATCATATTAGGTTTACTTTTCATTTTACGTGAAAAAATTATTCTCCTTGCCTTTGGTGTAAACCTAGCAGAGTTAGTAGATATATACATATTCTTGTTCCTTTTTTATGTCTTTATGCGGGCAGTTCTTCATGGGCAGAAATCACAGCTTGGGGTTGATGTGACACGTTGAGCGGCAAAAGTTCTGATTTTCCAACTTCATCATAAGTTGCTTATGAAGTGCGTCACATGCCTAATATGCTACATGCTTCAAGATGCAGTGCTTCTGCTGGTCGAGATGCACTGCTGGCTCGTTTGAGGCGCTTTAACCATAGACTTACATGTAAGCCATCTGCTTCTGTTGTTAATATAGTGTTCGATGAGAACACAGCATTAGAATCAAACTACTTCACAGAAATATATAGGAAACACCTTTATGCATCAAAGATCACAATTTCAGATCAAGAAAATTGAATGAATAGTCACAGCATTAAAGAGAAAAACAACTTTAGTAAGTTCTTTTGTGTTAAATGGAATTAATCCTATATTTACTAATGTGTAAAGTAATGAACACTTTCAAAAAGTTATATCAATACTTCGACAAAGATGAAATCGAACTAAAAAGTGCATTATATTATTAGAGTGCACATAACCCTCACCCAGTAAATTAGCAGTAAATGACTGGGTAATGTAGGCGAGAAAAGAGCTTCATATCCATTTTTTATTACTACTAGTCAAAAAAAGATCAACTACTAAAAATAAAATAAACGTGGATGGTCTAAAATGCCATCATAATACAGTGTTTCCCATTAAACAAGATCTTGTTTGGGCCCGCCACAGTCTTACATAGACACAGAGAGAGAGAAAACAACAACAACAAAAAGATCTGTCAGTTTATCAGATAATTCCACGGCTGTACTTTCATAGCGCCCGTAACCCAGCACCATAGAGAGAAAAATTGTTTACAGCCGTAACCAAGCGACAGGAAGAATGTGCGCCACGCTCATAGACGTCACTTATTTCTTGATACATTTGGCGTATCAAATCCAGCAACGCCAGAGCGTGATGTCTGACTGAGGTAAGTGTAACTTCATTTTTGGGCAATAGAGCTATCATGTTGGTTTGTGGATCAGTAGGCTATGTTCTTGATCTCATCAAGCTAGTCAACTTCTAACATACCAAACCGATTCTAACTTTCTGAACTTCATGGTCAGTGGCGGTTCTACTCCCCGGGCGAGACCCACTCCAAGCGCCAGTTATATTGGTTTCGAAGCGCGCGCCCCGCACTCCTTTATAAAAGTGCCGCCCCGGCTGCCCCGTTCGCCCGTGCAGCGTTGCCAATCGGCGACTCTGTCACTATATTTACCAACTTTCAGACCCCTGCAACGACTCTTTTTCAAAAAAGTCATTCACGCGCTGCTTTGTTTTAAAAAAATATAAATATAAAAAATATAACCCCGGATGTCTGGGGGACAGTGATTCGCCTACATGTTATGAATGCTGGTGTACCATAAATGATAAACTGTGAATTTGTGCCTTCAAGTTGTTGCCACATAATAGTATTTCTCCTTTTGTTCCATGAGGGTTCCAGAGTGGGTGGATGGATTTGATTTTTTTGTTTATATGGATCTTCCATTTAAACAACAAAAATATAAAATTTCTAGCTAATATAGCGCATTTATAGGAGGGATATAATAGAACCTATTGAAGACAACACATATCAGAACTTTTCAAAGCTAAGAAGATCAAATCTACAACTGCTTAACTGTTATAATATCAGGCTCCTAGCTGCGAAAAAAAAAAAAGAAAAAACATTTTTTTACCGTGTAATTTGGATTCCCCGGTTGAATGCGGAGTTCAGCCAGGATCCAGATGCCGTTGGTTAGCTTGAGTGACTGATACAGCATGTCCTGGCCTTCTACATTTCTTTTGGCAATGGTGTAGATGTTGTTATTTTGCAGTTTACCAGATACTGTGTCTGGAAGACCAAAATACAAATCAGTTCATAGTAGGAGAGACCCCATAACTTATGGTCTGGGATGTATTAACTACCATAAGCAACGGAAAATAAACAAATACACAGAGACAAAGCTACAATAATTATTAGGAGCTACAGCAACATTTTGCAAACTCACAATCTACGGCTACATGTTCTAGCTCTATGAGGATTTAAAGCATATTAGCTGCTGTTAGGTTCCAATAAAGAGGACAAGGTTCTAAACTGAGCTTCTATTGCAGCCCACCGTAGCTTCATAGCTATGAGGAGGACAGAACTATCAAAATGAGTAAAACAAATATAGATAAAAACAAGTATCCAAAGATGAGCATGCAAGTGGAAAAAAGCAGAAGAAAAGTTTAAGATTCTAGTAATTAAAACAGACATTACCACATTGGATTTCATGTCAAATGAAGCATTACAAATAGTAACCGAGCAGAATATCTTCCCACAATCAACACTGAAGAGGAACTCAATATAAAATCTGCTGGAAATAAGAGTTTTAGAGATACACTGAGAAATCAGTGGGTAATTATTATGATCAGTAAATGTTAGCTAAGGGTATTGGAAATAGCTGGATTTTATAATGTTGCCAACATTTTAGAAATCACAGAGCTCAAATAAGTTTAAATTCAATAGTGTAATGGTGGTCTCATTCCAGTCAACCTGGGCTAATTTCCCACATGTTTTATTCATATCACTGAACTTCAGCAGAGGCCTGTTAAACTGTCCTTTCCATTCAGGTAAACTAAAATATGGCATTTTCTGAAAAGTACAGGTCAACAACTTTTCATAGCTTACAAGGGCAATTGCAGCTCAAGTTCCATACTAGCCTTTTTAATCACCAATTTTTGCATCTAATCTTCAACTATTTATTAAAAGGGGTCTAGTCATCTTTTTTGACTTTATCATTTTCCTTAGCAATAGCTCATATTGTTGCATAAAAAACATTTTATGATTTATTTATACAACTTTGTTGGCTTGTTGTATATTATTTCTGCTTTTTACCCTTTTCTGGTCCATTTGTTATTTTAAACTTTGGTGTTTTTGGTATTTACTAAAGAGATAATGTCACAACCATACAATGAGTAAACAAGAAAGTAATTTTGCCAATGGAGGTTTGTAAAAATAGAGGAAATGTCCAAGATCCAGCGTGAAAAAGTAAAAACAATACTGTATGGTAGGAGGGATAATACAGGAGTAGCACCTGAATGCAAGAGGAATGCTGGAGTTCACTGAAGTGGGAGCTAAAGCTGTCAAGAGGATGGATGTCTGAGCAAAGACTACCAGCACATGGCTATGGGTGCGATGTCTAGGGATGCACCGAAACTTTTAGACCGAAAATGACCTAAAAGTGCTTTTTTGGTTTTCAGCCAAAACACGGCTGACATTAAGAAAAGGACTGAAGTGTTTGAAAATGCAAGAAAGTTGACCAGTGATTGCCAAGGCAAAGAGCACAATAGATAAAGATTCCAGTGGTAAATAAATATTTTGATTCTTTTGATTTTTTTTAAATGCCTTGAGTTTAAAAAAAATTATGAGTTTTTTAAGACGGTTAGTACACATCGTAGCCAAAATTGTATGGTTCTATTATTTTACTTAATCATTTATTTCAGTGTTTTGGTTTTTTGACCTTGGTTTCCTAATTTAACGTTTTCCATTTTGGCCAAGATTTTTCATTTAAGTGCATTCCAAATTATGTCTCCTGATCTCAACCTGTGCAAAAGTTCAATTTAGACAAAAAAAAAAAAAAGAACCAAGTAAACACTATTCATGATTACATTGCTTCACTTCAACATGAACATATGGTTTTCGGTATTGCCATAGATCCCTTAAAGGACTCCTCTGTTAGTCATAACAAAACATACAAATCTGAATCTTCTCAATCCTGCATCAGAAGGTCAAAGATTTACTAAAACAAGTGATTGAAATAAGCCAGACCACTCTGAGTTGTACATATTTAGTTAAAGGTGTAGGAGATATGTAGAGTAAAAATAAAAAGAATAAAAGTCTGCAAAGAATAAAAATGCAAAGAAAACCTAGATTGAGGTGCCTACCAGCGTTTAGGTGGCAGTCTTTGATCTGATACTGAAGCTCATTCTCATTGGGTATGTCCTTCCAGGTAGCCAGAAACACCTGTCGCTCTGAAAACAATGAAACATGCACAGCAATAAATATCTAGTTATTTTGTATGATATGCAGAGTATATTATACAATCTATATCTACACATATATACATACCGTTACAGTAGTAACAGCAACACATAATATCTAATGGTGCTGCCAATGGCCTGGCCAGCTAAGCTTTGACCGAGGGGCTGGACAAAAGCTTGGTTTTGGTCCCCTTTCATTGTTATATAAACAATCCATGCAGTTTGAACAGCTTAACTAGGTCAGGCATGTGCCTCGCTGAAGCTCTCAGACTGAAGACAGACCCCGCCTCACCTCCTCTACTCAGTTTCTGAGGCTGTCAGTCACAGCAGTGCGGACATGGACAGACAGCCAAAGACAAGCAGAGGGGTAGAAAAATTGGAGTGGGGGGAATAATCTTTCCCGCTGTAAATACATTTATGTTCATAATAGAGCAGGTAAAACATAAGATTCCATAGCCACTCCAGCACAACTAGCTTATAACACATTTGTTTAACAATAAAATATCCATTAATTTAGATTATGCAAACCCCTCATTACCTGTGCTTATTTTTTATTTCATTTTCAGCAAATTCAATTTTATGACAGATTTAAATTAAAGTCAAATTAATTTGTGACTCAACCAAACTTTCCTGACATGAGAACCTGTTTTGCACACCTCTGATTTGTTTTTGCAAATAGTAGTAGTGCTTCCTCAGTCTAATGATGTCCAAACCAGATACCGTAAATTCCGGACTATAAGCCCCCACTTTTTTCCCGCTGTTTGAACACCGCGGCCTATAATACAGTGCGGCTAATACATGTTTTTTTTCACCAAAACTGGCCGCATGCGAAGGGCATCTTTCACTGATGTCTGCCAGTGGGTTCTCAATGCGTGGAGCCGTGTGAAAACATCCAGCATCACCGGTGGGTTTCGTAAGGCTGGGCTGCTGCGGGATGAAGAGGACCGCGAGTGCTCAAGTGAGAGCGACAAGGATGAGACTGAAGTCAGTGACGGCATCCTGAAGCTGTTCCATTCAGACACCGAGGAAGAGGACTTTGAGGGTTTTAGTGCGCAGGAGGAAGAAGAAAGTGATTAATGACTTTTCCTGGTCGGCTGCAATGTTCTGTGCGTTGCTCAATTAAAAGCACCGGTATATGCAGCGTTATTTGCGTGTTACCGACACATACGTATATTTAAATGTGTTACAGGTAGTTTGAAAAAATAAAAATAAAAAAATTAATAAAATTAATAATATGTAGTTTGAAAAAAAAATTTAAAAATTAATAATATGTACCATATTTGTTTGTTTTATCATACGGATTAAATCAAACGTTAAAAAAATGCTCACGTGTAATATCTATATATATTATTTGTAAATATCTCATACAACGTGGGAAACCTGCGGCTTAAAATCCGGTGCGGCTTATAAAAGTACAAAATAGATTTTCTTTCTAAAATTAGAGCGTGCACTCTATAGTCCGGAATTTACGGTATTATCTATTTTCAAAAAGTATTTTTAGAAGTCTGTAAAAAACGTTTTTAAAAATCATACCCATTTTTCCATCTTCAACAAAGAATATGTTTAGAGGGATGAGGACACTGAAGTAGAACACATCAATGTTGTTCTTTACAGCCACCTGTGAAGTTAGAAAGAGCAGAAAAAATTCATTAACGTATTTGAGGAATATAAACCAAAAATGTCTAATAAACATGCACTTCCAGAACAATTTAAAAGCAAATGAAGAATCATTCACAGAAATGAGGAATATCAAAATACAATTCTTTGCTGCCATGCCTGAATTTCCTCACTGTGGGATTTTAAAGGGACATACTTCTATTGTTATACAGTGAAATCCTATAGATGGTCACTCAACATTGACCAACCTATATTTTGTAAGGCCCTGTTCATGTACCTGCAGGTTATTCAGTGGATCCATCTTCATGACGGGCCCAATGGTGTTGACAGGCAGGGAGATCTCAATACTCTGATTGGGCATGAGTGGGGTGTGAATGGGCAGAGGATTGGTGGGGATCACACCAAAACTGCAAGGAGGACAGAATTATAAACCTGTTGCCATTTGCTGCAAAGTTTCAGCTAAAATTTGTGAATGCTGATCCGGTAGAAAAATTATTCTATTCCAGCGAACAAACCTGTTTTTGTTAAACTGGATGGCGAAATCGTTCATGTGTTGCAGGGCCTTGTTGGTGAATGACATGTCCATGTACATGTGGCCTTGGCGGCGGGAGAATGTTCCAGAGATTTCCAGCCCTTTTGCTTTTACTGCAGGAAGCCACACCTGTAAAAAAGCAGCTGCATTTAGAACATCATATATTGTTGCGTTGCGGCAGGAAGGGCATTGTCATAAAACTTTTGCCAAGTCTACAGGTGCTGGTCATAAAATTAGAATATCATGAAAAAGTAGATTGATTTCAGTAATTCCATTTAAAAAGTGAAACTTGTATATTATATTCATACATTACATACAAACTCATATATTTCAGATGTTTATTTTGTTTAATTTTGATGATTACAAATGACAACAAATGAAAATCTCAAATTCATCATATCAGAAAATTAGAATATTACTGAAGACCAATAAAAACAAAGGATTTATAGAAATGTTGGCCAACTGAAAAGTATGAACATGAAAAGTATGAGCATGTACAGCACTCAGTATTTAGTTGGGCCTCCTTTGGCCTGTATTACTGCAGCAATGCGGCGTGGCATGGAGTCGATCAGTCTGTGGCACTGCTCAGGTGTTATGATAGCCCAGGTTGCTCTAATAGTGGCTTTTAGCTCTTCTGAATTGTTGGGTCTGGTGTATTGCATCTTCTTCTTCACAATACCCCATAGATTTTCTATGGGGTTAAGGTCAGGAGAGTTTGCTGGCCAATTAAGAACAGGGATACCATGGTCCTTCAACCAGGTACTGGTAGCTTTGGCACTGTGTGCAGGTGCCAAGTCCTGTTGGAAAATGAAATCTGCATCTCCAAAAAGTTGGTCAGCTGCAGGAAGCATGAAGTGCTCTAAAACTTCCTGGTATGTGGCTGCGTTGACCCTGGACCTCAGAAAACACAATGGACCAACACCAGCAGATGACATGGCACCCAAACCATCACTGACTGTGGAAACTTTACACTGGACTTCAAGCAACATGGATGAAGTGCCTCTCTTCTTTTCCTCCAGACTCTGGGACCTTGATTTCCAAAGGAAATGCAAAATTTACTTTCATCAGAGAACATGACTTTGGACCACTCACCAGCAGTCCAGTCCTGTTTCTCTTTAGCCCAGGCAAGACGCTTCTGACGCTGTCTGTGGTTCAAGAGTGGCTTGACACAAGGAATGCGACAGCAGAAACCCATGTCTTTCATACGTCTGTGTGTGGTGGTTCTTGAAGCACTCACTCCAGCTGCAGTCCACTCTTTGTGAATCTCCCCCACATTTTTGAAGGGGTTTTGTTTCACAATCCTCTCCAGGGTGCGGTTATCTCTCTTGCTTGTACACTTTTTTCGACCACATCTTTTCCTTCCCTTCGCCTCTCTATTAATGTGCTTGGACACTGAGCTCTGTGAACAGCCAGCCTCTTTAGCGATGACCTTTTGTGTCTTGCCCTCCTTGTGCAAGGTGTCGATGGTCGTCTTTTGGACAACTGTCAAGTCAGCAGTCTTCCCCATGATTGTGTAGCCTATAGAACTAGACTGAAAGACCATTTAAAGGCTTTTGCAGGTGGTTTGAGTTAATTAGCTGATTAGAGTGTGGCACCAGGGGCCATCAATTTTGAACCTTTTCACAATATTCTAATTTTCTGATATGATGAATTTGAGATTTTCATTTGTTGTCATTTGTAATCATCAAAATTAAACAAAATAAACATCTGAAATATATGAGTTTGTATGTAATGTATGAATATAATATACAAGTTTCACTTTTTAAATGGAATTACTGAAATCAATCTACTTTTTCATGATATTCTAATTTTATGACCAGCACCTGTAACAACTCAGTCATAACGACTTGCTGTAAAACTCTTGAATAAGGCAGCAGCTGAAAGGAGACAAATAAAGGGACTCAAAATGTTAACTTTTTTTTTTACTTTTCAGTAGTGCTGGACGAAAAGGCTAAAACTTATATAACTATATATATATTTCCAAATTGTGGTCGATACATTATCACTTTAAAATTGTTATAAAGGCCTCAGAAACACTAAAGAATGCCCCCCATGGAATCTTATGACAATTATTAAATTCTTCAGTATACTCCTAAAAGCTATATACATGCACAGAAAACAAGTTACTTAACATAATTAGTAATCCTATAAAGCATTTAACATTTCATTAAAATCAGTTTAGATAAGTCTAAAAGTACACGGATAAAAGCTGCTTTTTCTGAAAGACTGCCTGGAGTCTCACTGAACTACTTTAATATTGTATTTAATACAATATAAACCATATAGAAATCTATAACCACTGTTTAAAAATGTTGCAGGTCATTAACAAACAGGGGTTTACGGTTTCTTTTAAGGCAAAAAGCATATTTACTTAACCGTAAAGCACAAAAAAACACCAGCTGATTCAAAATTCTCACTGATTATGAAGATTTGGCTGAAGCATCACTGCTCTTTAATTCAATATTTAATATTAGAGAGCTTGCATAAAAAAAACAAACAAAACAAAATTGGGTTTTGTGTGACAATTATTTGCTTTCTAAGCAGATTTATTTTCTTAAGCATTGCATTTTGCTCAAAATTCCAATCAACCATGTCACACGACATTAACAGCTTAATAGAGTCGGACTGTTCTCCAAGTAATTCTGTTTTTCAGTGTCTTATAAACACCTAGCTCAATAATATTCCTCACAGTCTCCTGCAACTGGAATAAACTTGTGTGCACTCACCGCTTTCAGGGCTACATAGCCTCCAGTGGTGATGGCCATGCCTGTTGAAAGCTCAAACAGGTCATTGAGGCCACTGCTGACAGCTGGAGGAGCAGGAGTAGGTGATGGAGCAAAAGTGTTGGGGACAGATGAGGGGATGAAGTTTTGTCCCACCTAAAGGAGTTGCAAAACAAGAAGATGCACTGAACAAGTCAAAAACATCGAAGCATCCTGTTTAGCTTCATTAAATGTTGCTAGAAGTCCATGCAGAAAGAAAGACAAACGAGAAATAAATAAATCACAAAAGAACATTAGGTCATGCAAAAAGAAGGAGGCATGATAACAAGGAAGAGAGATTTTCATAGATTCAATATTGTGATCGGGCAAAGGCATCATAGACACTAGTCTATGTTAAGTATTTCCTGTAGTAGAAATGTGTTTATTTTAACCCATTAGTGAAAGTATAGTATATATTAGGGGTGGAACGGTTCACAAAATCTACGGTTCGGTTCGGCTCACGGTTTCGTGGTCACGGTTTTCGGTTCAGTTCGGAATATGTTGATTGTTAGCCTGACATGTTGGTCATGTTGCTGTTAGCATAAACAAAACGTGTTGCACAATGCTTGCACACTGTTGCGCTTTTATCCACAACTTTCTTTCCGCCATCATCGTAGGTCACTCTAAATGCAAAGTGGTCCCATACAGCAGACCTATAAAGTGCTGCTGGCGCGTCTTCCAAAGCCTGTTCTTTCCTACTCGCCATACCCACACAATTCTCCACAACAACTGATTTTTTTCTGCTACACCCGGCTATGCTGCTTCGCTTCTTCTTCTTGTTTACTACTGGTGGTTGGCTTTGGTCGCAGTACCGCCACCTTCTGCTCTGGAGTGTAAGCGCTTCGCCCATGAGAAAAAGGAGCAGCGCATGAACCGAACGCAACACACGCGAACCGAACCGAGACAGTCGAACCGAACGGTTCGGACGGTTTTCATAAACCGTTCCATCCCTAGTGTGTGTGTGTGTGTATATATACCGTATTTTCACGACTATAAGGCGCACTTAAATGTCCTTTTTTCCCCTCAAAATGTGCGGTGCGCCCTTTTGTGCGGTGCGCCCTATGTGTGTTGTAACTGCGACTTTTGAGACCACCTCATTGAGGAGATAATGAAAGAGTGACTGAATGTAAGGAGACCAGGTGTTTTTTTCTCCACTCATCACCATCGCTGTTAATATGTAACTCCATGCGTGCCCATCTCACAGCTGATGTGAAAAACATGGGGAAACAAATTAACCCTGTGCTCGCTGTTCAACCGCTCGACATCGGTGTGAACCGGACCCAGCAGGTGCAGCGAGTTTACATACAAAGTCAATGGTTGACGCGCGTATAGGTGCAGCAAAAGGTCCCGCAGCGTGTTTTGAGCAGCAGGTGCAGCGAGTCGGGAAGCGTTTAAGCATCTGACGCACCGCCAACGCGCTGCTGCTGCTCGAGATGGAAAAATTGAAGTTTTGCTGCTGGACGCGCCGCATCAACCAATCAGAGAAGCTGATCTGGGAGCTGACAGCGAGACAGACACAGCGCTCTGATGACATATGATATTAAATGAAAAAGGCTGGATGGATGAGGAGATGATGAAAGCGTGGGTGTGCCCATCTCACAGCCGATGTGAAAAAAAAGGTGAATCAAATGAACGCTGTGCTCGCCGTTATCCCGGGGGTCTGACAAAGGAACTTCAACCGCTCGACATCGGTGTGAAGCGTCCGTTCAAAGTAAGGCTGCGAGCGGCGTGGGAGCGATGGATGGCCGACAGAGACCACAGTTTCACGATAAGTGGAAGGCAGCGCCGGGCAAGTTACGCCACCGTTTGCGGATGGATTGTAGATGCTTGGACTAACGTGTCTGCTGGCTCTGTTGTTCAAGCTTTTGCAAAAGCCGGAATTATTTCTGAGGAGCTGCGCTGCACGGAAAGTGACTCTGACAGCGAAGAAGGGGAAATTGGCATGTCTGATTTAGCGCAGCTGTTTAATTCAGAAACAGAGGATGATGACTTTCATGGGTTTGATTAATACTTTGTAATAAATACATGAATAAAGCACAATCATACTCAGTTTTGCTCCAGCTCTATTTTTCTACCTGAAAACTTAATTCAACAGCAGCCTCTGGGCGGGTCTCCTCCTCTTCATCACGGTGGCTGGCAGGTGTTTTTCATCTAAATAATCTAAATCTTGCAGCTATATTTGCTGTGATCAGTGGGAATAAAGTAGTTTTAATATGTTTTTAAGTGAGAAAGTCCACCTGAAAACTTCATAATTGCAGTCAGTTCATCCAGATTATCTATTTCTGTCAGAGGCGCTCAGACCCCCACATACCAGCGGTGCACCGACAGCAGAAATCCTTTCATCAGCAGCCTCTAGGCTGGGCAGCCTCCGGGTTCACATGGTGGCTGGCAGGTGTTTTTCATCTAAATAATTTAAACGGCAGGCACTAGGATAACGGTAATAAAAGCGAACATATTCCGTCGGCAGGTTTCAGGATTTTAAGTTAATTTAGGAGTGATCACAGCGCTGTGTCATCTGAGATGTGTCTGTCTCACGGCCAGCTGCCAGGTTTGATTAATAGTTTGTAATAAATACATGAATAAAGCACAGTCATACTCAGTTTTGGGTATTTTTAAATACGGAGTAGAGGTATTTAAAGGTAGTAGAGGACATGTACCTGTATATAAAAGACGCGCCCTATAGTCCGGTGCGCCTTATGTGTGTGTTAAATACAGAAATGGGACACATAACTGAGAGTGCGCCTTTTAGTACGGTGCGCCTTATGGTCGTGAAAATACGGTATATATATATATATATATATATATATATATATATATATATATATATATATATATATATATATATATATATATATATATATATATATATATATATATATATAAAAATCACAATACCAATCAATTGGAGCCATATCACTGTAATTGAATCAATTTTGATCAGCTATAAAGACAGAAAAAGGTGACAATATAGAGAAAAAAAATAGCATATGTTATAGCTGAGCATTAAGGTTTAAAGCAAGTAAGAGGAGTGCATCGAGTTTAGGTCGGGAAGCATGCAGCAAGACTGCCGAACAGAAGGGCTTGACTTACTGCTGGACTTCCCCCAACACCTCCGCCCAGGTCTCCCCCCAGCTATAGGAGAGAAGAGAAGACGCCCCCAAAGACAGCATCCAAACATCACAGACAGACCGAACACAGACAAACAAAGACAGAAACAGAAATGTTCTTAGCAACCGCAAGCCATCAAGAGAAGCCCTCAAAGTCTGGGGAAGTATTATCTGTATACTGAATTTCATATAAAAACAACCTAACTTTAAATATCTCTAATAAATCTGCATAAAAACTATGAAGAAAGTCAAAAAGTATCTAAAAATAAAGATAAAACTGAGGCTAAAATTGCCTTAATCTCACAAAGTTTTAAAATGTTAAACAGGAGTATTCATTAAAATTTACGGAAAAGCTTAAATTTAGAACTTTTAAATCTTCATTACAGGGCTTGCATACAATTAAAAAACCTCTCTGAAAATGTTAATACATTTTAAAAGCCCAGAGGAAAATGATTTTTAGTATACAGAATAAAAGTTATTAGTAATGGCCCAGTCCAGGACAGATTGATTAACACGATCTGAAAGGAGAGTTGGCAACTCGTTGCTAAAGACAATGGCTTTTCAGAGACCGTTAGCTTAGCACATTAATGGAAAGTTGATTGAAAGGAAAAAGGGGAGTTAGAAAAGCATTGTATTTAATGATCTGGTAATGATTCAACCAGATTTTTCTTCCTTTCATTCAACTTTCCATTAGCTGCTACAACATCCATTTATCCATAAAATACTATCTCTTACGTTAAATGCAATATTGAGTATAGAAGCTTGCTAAATTACACTAATTAACCACTACAAAGCAGCAAAGGCATTTAATTATGGTTGTTAAGTCACCATGGCTGTGTATTCATTTCTGCAAATTCATAAAAATAGTTTAGAAGGCAGCAGCTTTAATGGCTTATCCGTGTTAACAGCGTTAACAACTGTATTGGACATAGACATACATTCTGTAGTAAAAAAGTTTGTATTAGTTTCATTTAAATTTTGGTAGACATCATTCTAATTTTTAAAACAGACAGCTCTGAGTAATGAAGCCATACAATATGAAAGTTAGACTGTTACCCTGCTAAATGTGAAGATCTCAGAGCTAACCTCAAACAAACAAATAAACATCTCAAAATTGTTAAAAACAAAATAGCTATCTGTTAAAAACGGTTAAATTAAATCAACCATATCAATAAAGTAAAAACAAATTAATGCTACATCCATGCACATGGTGCAACCCCAGATAATGTAGTTTGCAGATGACAAGCCAACATTTCCTTGAGCCACTGAGCTCACCAAACTGTCCAGGCCTCCCCCCAGGAGGTCCACTGCACCCATCTGCATGGAGGAAACCTGGGGAACATTGACAGGAGGGCCCAGGTCCAGGTTGAGCAAGTCACCCAGCAGGTCGCCCTGGCTGGGGATCACATGTGGCTGATCCATGGCGGCGGCTGGACCACTGCTCACGGGGCTCTCGCCTGTGTCAATACTGTTCCAGGAGAAGATAGAGGACAGGTTGGATCATGTTAAGTTTAAATTCCCCCTTTCCAATTATCTGTGAGATCTTTTAATTAAAGTGAAATTACACAAAGCAGGACAACAAATGAGGCACCACCGAGTTTTCTAAATTATGCAGGTGTCTGACCTGCTGTGCTGGACAGGAAGGTGCTTGCGGTGGATTCCATGACTTCCCTCCACAAAGGCGCTGGGCGGCTTGTGATAGACTGAGGCCAGGGAGCCGATGTGGCAGATCAGCTCGTCCAGCAGAGTGGGCTCAATCAAGTCTGTCTCCTCAGAGATCAGGGGCTTTTCTGACAGCACCACCTCTTTGGCAGTCACTGGGTCAGTGGACAACAGGCGCCAGTAAATGTAGCCCCTGTCACGGAGGTCTGGGTTATCCGAGTCCTGATGGAAAAAAAAAAAAAAAAAAGTCTCAATGTAGGACTGAGCTAGTGAACAGATTTGCATTTCAATTTGATTGACTGATCACAACAAAAGTCATGAATAATGAACATCCCTACATTTTGTTTTTTTTCCTGATTTACAAAAAAAAAAAAAAACAACAACACTTAATACTAATTTTGTTAAGTGAATTTAATCTTGCAAATCTGAATTTTTCCAACTATAAAACCTTGAACAATAGAAAGAACAGAGATACAGAGATTGGATTTGTTCCTGCAGCTTCTGGTCTGTCTGACATGACCTGACCTGCTCAGACGGAGGACCCACATGAAAGCAGACAGGGGAGATTTCAGAACATCACTTCTGAGTGCACTAAGAACACATTCACAGTGATAAAGACGTATGGAGCAAATGAACTGTGATGGGAGTTTTAAGGTGAGGTAGCAAGTCTTTTACTGTATATAAGTGAAATTAATCTTTTTCAAGTCCCAAAATAAGCTGAATATGAAGATAAAATAGATATACTCTGATTTTTTTCTTTATATAATATATATGAAAATGAGTCCTTTAATAGCTATTATAATCCGAAGCAGGTGTGGGAGTGTGATTGATAAACTGTTTTATAGAGAAGTAGATAAAACTAAAACACAAACTGGGAAAAATAATATTCTTAAGGTATCAAATATACAAACTAATCAATTTATTTTATATCTGTGCAGTTTCATTTTGGATATAATAAAATCAAGGCATTTTATCTCATTTTACTATCGTTTCATGTAAACATTACAAAGGACTACCTTACAAAACTGAAATATGAAATTAAAACTTATACGAAAAGATGAAAAACAAATGCGGGTCATATGTAAATTTTAATTTTAAAGTGGGTGCTGCAGATGTTTGAAAGTCTTTTTTTTAAAGCCTCTAAAAGACACAGTTATTTTGACAAGATATATAAAGAGACTAACCTGAGTGGCCAGACTGAGGACCTGCTGCACCAGCTCCTGAGTCTCTGATGGCTTCTTCAGGAACAGCTTGACGATGGCAGTCAACAAAGTGAGTTGCACCTGCAAGGCAAAAACAAGCAGCTGTACTTGGATGTAATTCAAATAGTGTTGCACCAATAACAATACTACTATCAGGCGGGGCCCTGATACTGCATGGTATCAGTGAGTACGAACAAATAGAGCACCGATACCATTTTGAGAGCCAAAAGTTTATTCAACTATTGTCACCCATTCTAGGTAGGCGATAAAAAGTTCTACTGGATTCACTTTGTATTATTTTTTTCCTGCTTCACAAAGGTAGGCACCAGCTTGACAAAGAAATGATGGCAATTATTTTACATCCAGGTAGTGTGCAGTTCTTCTGATATACACACACACAGAGACATCAATTTCAAACAGATGGCATCGGTATCAGCCGATACTGCACAGCCAGGTATCGGGGCCAAAAATGACACTGGCGCAACACTAGTGGATAACTTGTAACTTGTTTAGTTCCAGTACTTTCCGGTCAGCTCACACTTTGTTTTTAAAAGACGGTGCAGCTAGTTGTTTGACATTAGTTCGCAGGAACCTCTTTTTACCATTTTTATTGAACTCACCTGAGTGCTCTCATCGTGAAAACCCTCCAGAAAGCTCTCCAGCAGCTCGTCGGCGTTATCGATTCTCTCTGCGTACTCTCCAACGATCCAGATCATGGCGCCTCGAGCATCGGGTTCATCCAGGGAGTCCAGGTTCTCACACAGAGTGGCAATGATGCTCTCATACCTGAAGAACATCCACATCTCAGTGGTCAGAATCCACTACGACTGAACAGATATTATTAGTCTGGATGATGGCTCAATAGAAACATACTTGTTTGGGTACTTGCGGAAAATGTCCCTAATGACCACAATAGCTTCCTGTACCACATAGTTGACCTTGGTTTGGATCAGATCGAGGAGAGTGCTGACGCAGCGCTCAGCCGATTGCTGCAGAAACAAAGGCCACCTTCATAAACCAACAAAAGGTCACAGTAGGTTGAAAGAACAAGTCCACACCAGAACTAGTAGCCAGGTCCAGTCACATTTGACTATTATATCACATCTATTATCTGAATTTGGATTGAAATGTTATTTTAAAACAAAGAGAAAAGGATAATTGAGGATGACATTTGGAAGATTTTTGGGAAGATTTTGAAACGCCGTTTTCGCGTTTCCATCTTTAAGCTCTAACCGCATTTTTTTTTTTTTTTTTTTTTTTACACGCATGCGTCATAGCGTCGCCTCTAAACACGCATGCGCGACACAGTATCACAACAACAATGGCGCCGTACTGTGTTGAATGATTGCTGCTCATGCTACTCACCCTGCTGTCGGGCTTACAACAGAATCTTCTTCTTCTGGAATATCTCCAGGAAGAACAGAGGAATATCGACGACATAGTTCAGCACCTGAATTTGACTGAACCACGAAAATGGACCCGCAGGGCAGCCATGTATAAATATTAGTGCGCATGCCCAACATTTCGTCGCCTATTTTTGCTTTGGCACCACAGCGCGACTTATAGGACTGGCATACATTTTGCAGCGTTTTCATGGATTCATGTGGACGATCACATTTATTTTACGTCTCCGTCTTTACGACAAATGTTCTGGAAAATATTAGCGTTTCGTGTTCGTTTTGACTTTGTGTGGACGGGCCTAAATCCCATCCGACACCTTCAGTGCTTCTCCTGAAAGAATTTTTAGGGCTGCAACTAATGATTATTTTGCAGATAGATTAATCTGTCAATTATTTTTTTTCAATTATTAATTTAATAATTGGATGACAAAAGGTATCTTAAAGAAGACTTTTTACAAAATTAAACTAGGTGAATCTAAAATGCTTCCACTTGAGTTCTATGTAGAGCATATTGATAGAAGAAAAAGATTTTTTTATCTTAAATTTCGGTAATATTGTTACTCGAAGTGGGTTGCTCTGTCAGCTAAAGGCATTTTTACAGTCTCAATACTCCAGTTAACGAATCATCGATTACTAAATTAGTTGTCAATTATTTCAATAACTGATTAGTCATTATTTATCCGATTAACTGTTTTTGGCCCTAGATTTTTTAAGATAAATTCCAGCCTTTTACCTTCAGTAACAATGTATGTATTAAAGAATGTTGTTGTCAGCGGGACCTATTGATGCTTTGGTATGGTGTGTTAACTAAACACACACAAAAAAAAAAAAATGGATTTCTGGGGTTCAAACAGGACATCAGACGATACTCATCGTATTTCGGTCACCGACAGACCTCTAAAAATATTAGTTGACAAATGTTTTCACCTCCACTTTGATGGCACATCGTCCGATAGCTCGAACAGCTTTGCGCACAAAGTCAACATCTACTTCTGTGGCATATTCCTTCAGCTCGGCCAAAACCTGCAGGAATCCAATTACATTTTGTTAATTCCATTATAATAAAGTAAATAAAGCTAAACATATACAAAAAGAAAACCTATTTTCCCGAAGCCTTGCATTTAACTTCTGTTTGACTGTGTTTGGTTTCTAAATGTCTTTTTCAGCAAGAACCAACCTTCAGATTTGAAAGATAAAGATCGGCTGCGTTTCATCCAATAACCTTACCTGAGCAATGTTGGCCTGAGAGGCCAAACGGATCATGATGTCTAGTTTTTCCAGTTTCACATAGATTGGGTCGTTATACTTGACAAAGAACACTTTAATCTCCTGCTTCAGGATCTCAGGTCTGCAAAGAAAACCACAGAATTCAGCTCAATTTCCTGTCCATTTATAAAGGAGCGAAAAAAAATAAAGAATTGTATGTTTTATTCTTCCAGGGGACATAAATCTATAATGCAAAGCAACATTTAGGAAAAAAAAAAGTTGAGTAGATAAAGCTAGGATATTTAAAATATTTTTTGGCACAATTATACCATTTTTTTCCTGCAATAACAAAGTTGTGAAATAAAATCTTAAATTAAATTCTGTATTTTCCAAAATATATTGGAAATCTGTGCATTTTGCAAAGAATTTGCTTACACTGGGAGACCTATCAAAAAAAATGTACTGATCTCATACCTCTTCTGAACAATAAGGTTGATGTTCCTCAGAGCCACATACTGGACCTCTGGTTCTCCAGACAGCAAGGTAACCAGCGGGGGAGATAGTTTCTTCAGCAATGTGTTGTAATAATCAGAGTCCTTTGGCAGCAGCTCCAGAAACTTCATCAGGACCTTTACGGCGGACAGGACCACAGCTGAGTTGGCATGAGACAGTCGTGGAGTGACACGCTCACAGATGCTTTGAGACACAAAAGGAGAAGAAAGATCTCAGCACTATAAGCTAAGAGAAGAATGGGATATCCTTTTGTTTTAATAACCATCTTAATGAAATTTAATTAATTACAGCCTTTCTACCTCTGAGCCTCTCGGTCATCCTTGGGGTTGTAGTTGGACAGGCAGTCCAGGATAAAGATCTGCCCCCATTCAGTGCACTCGTTAAGGGCCGTCAATAACTTGTTGATATTCTGGGGATTCAGGTCCAGCAAATTGCTGTTGGGGTGAGACTCGCTGATCTCCGACAAAGCAGCGACTGCATTGGCAACAACCTGTGGGGTGAGGCTCACAGTTGTAAAACACAGACTTCACAAATATAGAATTAATTAAAGAATTAATACAGCTTTATCTTAATGGGCACAAACTAAAGTAAGTATATTTATGAAATATAAGGAGGAAGGCCAACCATGGGGTTTGAGTCAGCGATGAGATCTCTCAGGGAGTCCAGGAATCCCTGATCTTCCACCATCTGAGCATTGATGTCATGCAGCTTTGCCACGCAAACAGCTGCTGTCTTCCTTACATACGGGTCTTCATCCTTCAGGCACTTCCTCAGCGGCTCACACAGGTACTCTGTGATCTTATCCACCCGGATGCAGCCCATGGTGCGAACAGCCAGAGCCCGGATCAGAGGGTTAGGGTCCTCACAGTCCTATAAAATAGGTTGAGATTATTTTTTTTTTAAATGGGGTTTTATCCACTAGAGCCCAGAAGGGGATACAAAAAATCTTTGCATTGTTTTAGTGTGTAAAGATTGTATCAAAAAGGGCAACTATAGCTAATCAGAACAACTTCCAGAATGTTACCACATGGCAAACACACACTCTAGTATCAAGTTGTGAAACACTCACCTTAACAAAGCTGTTCACAGCCATGATGGCCATGTCTGGCTGGCTTTTGGCGTAGTTCATTAGGTAAAGGTAGACCAACTTCTTCAGCTCCAGGTTGTCAGTCTGCATACAGTTCACCACATCTGGGAACAAAGAACTGAGAAAAAAAAACACAGTTACATTCTCCAGTTTGAATGCTCATGATTAGAAGCTATGAAAACAAAAGTGTTTTTGGGCCTGTAGGAGTCTGTATGTTAGAAATAATACACCGGTCACATCATCATTATGAACACATATCCCCATAGTGGTGGCAGCATAATCCTTTGAGGATTACAGCAGGAACCAACTGTCAATATGTGAAGTTTAATCTGCTGGTGTACCTGACATCTTTGCCAACAGTCATGGCAGCGATGACCTTCTTTACTGCCTCTTTTCTTTTCTCTTTCTTCTCATTGTTCAACTCCGCCTTCAGCTCAAAGATCTCCCCTAAAAAATGGATGATACAGACATGTCTTACAAATACCTATTGTTTAGTTGAAAAAAAAAAAAAACATGTTTCTTATTTTTAGGAAACAAATATAAAAAGAAAATAATCTGTGAATATATAGAAGAAAAAAAAAACAATGCATGTTTTTACACTTTTTTTGCATTCACCTTTTTTGTTGGTAGTGAAATATTTGGAGTCTGTCATGGTGGTGGTGTTTGTTATCTGAAAGAAACCAAAACAATTGAGTTTTTTTTTTTTCTTAACCACAATAAAAAAGATGATAAAGACCAGAGTTCAGTTCAATAAATCACAAAAACCTGGCCTGGAAAAGCATGTTTTATTTTGCAAGTTCCTACAAGGATGTAGAAATGCTCAGCTTTATCCCACATAATTGATGGTCAGTAACATATAATCAAAACTATATGCAACAAAAAAACATTTTTAAATGTTTTGTAATAGAAAATTTTACAGCAGACAGTCACTAAAACAATGAAGGGAACCAATAAAAGGTCATGGTTAAGAAGTACCTGTTAAGAGTAAAATTAGATAGTTTGCCAATGGAACGGGTATCTTTGCTCTCAAAATAAAATAATTAGATAAGGTGCACTTGAAATAAGACAATGCAGTTGTGTTTTCTTATTTAGAATATAAATTGTCTTATTCCATTGGCAAATGACTCTTTTACCTCCTCAATCCAAGAACAAATGCATTTATTTTACGGGGAAAAAATGACTTATCTAGATTTCGATTTTTTTCCAGTGTAAACACATAATCAGATATGTTGAATCTAATCTGAGCTGAGGAAGAACGGGGGGTATTAAACTATTTCTCAGTAGTTTCAAGTCTTTTAAGAAGAAAGTCGCTTGTGAAGTTTTCAGTGTCGATAATTTAAAAAGGACTTTGTCATCTTCTGCTGTTGGTCCATTTTGCTTAACCAAGTTTCTCGCCCCTACAGCCAAAAACCTCCCAGAATCTATGCATCATCACCACGCAAACTGATCTGATCCAAATCCTTATGAGAATCTATGGAGTATCTTTAAGGTGGAGTTGAAGACACTAAAGCAGACAAAGTGTGATTCCCAACTTGGGCCATCTCACCCCTTATTCTCCTTTTTGCTGTCATTCTTTGTCTTAATAAGACCCCATTTGTGACAAAATCTTCAGTAAATACATTATATAAACCTTCTACAACAAGGGAGGATTTGCACACAAGGACATTCAGCACCATTCATTTCATATGTTATGCTATTTACATGCATGCATGCTTCCCTCATGCAAAATGAAAAACTGTTCACTGCAATCAAAGGGACTATTGTGGTAAACAGATACAGAAGTAATCCAGGCAAACAGCAATTGTGCTTATCAGACAGCTCACCTTGCCCAACAATGTGGATAGATTTCTCTGATTATTTATTGCACGTTACTGAATCTGCGTCACTGGTTTTAGTGATAGGAAAATGGTAAAGATTTACAAGTTAAATCTCCCACCAATAGTTTTATTTAAGAGCCATTTTCTGCATCAGCCCGCCCCGTTGTTGTATCCTCAAATATCTCCAGTAGTAATCGAAAATACTTTATTAAAACTGGTTTCAGCATGGGGCATTCATGTAAAGCGTTTAACATTCGCGAAACTGTCAGCTCGCAAAAATGTGTTTAAACCTCTTCACTTCCACTTTGCTAACGTTGGTTAGCTTCAACGCTGAAGTTAACATCTGAAATGAAACCGCAGCGCATTCTTCTCCTTTAAATGAAAATTTAAATGAAATACTAAACCTGATGATTCTTCATTGCTTACAGGAGTGTGTTTCAACGAAGCTATAAGTACCCTGCATTGTCAATGACTTCATCCGAAGGTGGGCTAAATGCCAAAACGGGTTTTTACACAAATACACATTCCATTCATCAAAAATATCGGATTTAAAAGACTCGTGAGATTTGTGCAAATATTTAAATCCAGATGGTAGTCTAGTTTGTTAACATTTAGAACTACAGTTAATTGAATGTGCTATCATTTGCTAAAATAAAGAGAGAACCAGCATTACAATTCGAACACTAACTTCACCGTAGGTGGCTAGCCACAAGCTAATAGCACCGCCATCGTCAATCTTTCACTTCTAAAGGCTGAAAGCTTCGAGTCAGACAGGCTTCTGTGTTTCCAAATTCAGGAATTAAATAACACGTAGAGGGGCGTCTTTCTAGTAAAGATTGTGTTGAAATGACAGGGTAGAAAATGTGGAGGAAAGAAAGCGGCCCAGTTTGCATCATCGCTGCTGCTCATAGGAAAGCCGTTAAACGCAGTCAAACCATACGCAGATCGGCACACTGCCTAACATTAACCTCGCAGAATATAATAATTCACTTAAGATATTTAATTAAAATATAACTGACTTGCCTGTTGAATAAATGACACGAAGGATTTCCAATGGGGTGCAGCAGGACGAAGGTTGGTCCCTTCCCTGGTAAGGAGGAAGATGGAGAATGGTGTGTTCACGGTCTGGGAAAATTCCTAAACTTCCCGTTGTAACTAAGGTTTTTTAGTTTAGTTTAAAAAATATAAAGATGCGTTAAATGGAAAAATTACCAATAATCCTAAAATAGCCTGTGATTTGAAAAAGAAATTGTGTTCGGGTGTATAGCTTTTATATATATTTATAAATCATCACCTCTACACACCAGGAAGCAAAAAGAAAATTTGATGACATGTATCTAAATGGAAAAAAACGACTCAGATGTTTCTGGAGAATATATATATATATATTAAGGCTGGGACATTAACGCGTTAATTTCGATTAATTAATCATACAAATATTAACGCGTTAAAAAAATTAACGCATTTTAATCGCACACCAAAGTCTCCTGGAAGTCGTTTGGGATTTCACCCAAGTAATTATTTCACCTGTGGGGGCAGCATTAGAACTATGGCCAGAATACCGTCGGACAGAAACTGAAGAAGAAGAACAGAGAAGAAAGTTGCTTTTAACTAGAAGGAGAGACAACCATGGAAGAATTAGACGAAGCAGATGAAAACATTTTAGTTGGTCCTTTGCAGGGGAAATTTTGTTTTAAAATACAGGAGGGAAGAGTCGATAAGAGCGCGGTCATATGTAAATTATGCAACAAGGAATTCGCCCATCACCGCAGCGTATCAAGCCTCAAATATCACCTGAAGCAAAGCATGTAGCAGCTAGCTTGGCAGATACTAGCGTGGAAGCTAGCCCGACTGGGAGGAAGAAGAAACAACCCACACTACACCAGCTGACTGGCTTCAAGGGCAGGGTAAGCAAGACCAAGGCCGAGAAAATGACCAACGCGCTGGCTTACTGGGCGGCTCTCGACTGCAGACCCATTGCTGTGGTAGAAGATAAGGGGCTGTCTCAGCGTGAGGATGCCCTAAATCACAGATTTCTACAAGTGGCTACAGCACTCGACCCTCGCTTTAAGGTGTGTAATGGTCTTCTTTATTTTTCTCTTTTATTGCTTATGACTCTTTTATTTCCTCGGCCCCCTCCCCTCCCCTCTCTTATGGAATAACAACATCAACATGACTTGTATAGCACATTATCATACATAATTGTCATTCAGTGTGCTAAAGAGTAAAAAAAAATGAAAACAGAAAAAAATAATTCATGTTGTTTTATGGATTGAAGATAATTAACCAACTATTACCAAAGGCAGATGAGAATAATGCTATTTTTAATTTCTTTTTAAAACAAGATGCTGTTGGAGCAGTTCTAATATGGACAGTTTAGACTTGACCATAGGCACAACCAGTAGAGGAGATTCTGGATGATGGAAACCATGTATACTAATGAATTTCATCCAGCTTGTACTCTGTAAATCTCTGATTAATGTGACCACAAACCTGATTCTGATTCTTATTCTGATCTTAAGGACCTAAAGTGTCTACCAAGAGGAGAGCGAGGAGAGGTGTGGACCAGCATTGAGGCACTGGTGCAACAACAACCAGGCAGAGCCACACCGGAACGCACAGAGGAGCCAGCAAGGAAGAGGAGCCTCCTGCTGTATAATTCCGACTCTGAATCAGAGGATGAAGATGGGCCCAAAGGAGCCTTGGCCCGCTACAAGGCAGAGCCTACCATCAGTGAGAGAGACTGCCCACTGCAGTGGTGGTCCACTCATGAGAGAGCCCATCCACAGCTCTCTGTCCTGGCCCGCAAGTATCTAGGCAGCCCTGCCACTTCGGTACCCTGCGAAAGATTATTCTCCCTGGCAGGTAACATAGTTCAAAAGAAGAGGGCAGCCCTGAGCTCTGAAAATGTGAACAGGCTAGTATGTCTTAGCAACTGGCTGAAAGAGAGGAAGTAATCAGTTAATGTGTATCCTGAGGCCAGTTGGCCAGTTGTGTTTCAAATGGGAAAAATTGGAGGTCAATCACTGTCACTTTATGTTGAACTGAACTATCTGAATGGCCAATGTTATAAAGAGTTGGACTGAATTTCATTTAATTTCTGACTTATTTTTTGTAAACAGTTGAACTGTTGATAAATCCACGAATTGTGTTAAAGCCTCAGAGGCTTTTTGTTCTGAATGTACTTGAGTATTGCATTTTTGCGTTTAAAAAGCAGTATTAAGCTCTACCTATACCTATAGAGCTACCTGAATTTCTGAGTTTAGCGTTCCTAAATATGTTGAACTTTAAAATTTGCACTGGCCTGTTGATATTTCTTTAAAAAAAATAAACAATATTTTGTCTATTAAGCTTATGTGTTGTCATTCAAAATCCATGTGGAAAAAGTTACTTCCTGCAGTTTCCAAGTATGCGATTAAAATGCGATTAATTCGATTAATTAATTTCACAGCCATGCGATTAATCGCGATTAAAAAATTTAATCGCGTCCCACCCCTAATATATATATATATATATATATATATATATATATATATATATATATATATATATATTCACAAAAGTGAGTAAAAAGTGAGTTAAAATCTTTGAATTATGTCTAAGGCTGGCCAGCCTGTCTGGGTTATAGGTCTACTTTTTTTTTTTTACAAAAGTTTCAGACCTTCCATATTTCAAGGTTATTCTAAAAGATTTGGACCCAGATGCAGCTCTGTTCTTTGGTCAGACAATTTCAAACCTTTTATCTTTCTCTAGTGACACCATTCCTATATGGATTTTTGCAGGATGGTCAAAGGTTCTCTTCATCTTGAATTTTTTATCAGAAGTCTGGAGATTTTCTGCCAAAATGCAAAGGTGTCACCTTCATTTTAAAGGTTTAAGCCACAACAGGTGTCTGACTTGTTTATTCATGTGAAACACAACTACGGTTTCTACTGCCGGGGACGGGGCCCCACTTCACACAGCAGGGTTAGTGGCAAACCAGAGTAAATTCTGGTGTAAATTCTTGCATGTCCTGGTTCTTATGTCTCAGCAGAAAAAAAAGAAGCTTTATCTTGTGAAAAATTATTACAAGAAAAAATATTCACTTTTGTGTATTATGTTCTTCTTAAATGAGACTTGCACAAGGATGTGTCCAAAATTATGTGTCCATCACTGGAAGAATTTACTGAGGTTGGAGTGCAAATAGACTGAAGATATCTCCATCTGGAGAGGGTCGTTTAGAGGTTTTTATTGTTTACAAGGGAATAACTCTTCCTAAAATGTAGTTTAATGATTACATCTGATTTTAATATCCTCAGCAAGTACTAATTAATATTAATCAGGGATCATTTTCATCTTACTATTAAGTGTACAGTACAGTACAGCGTGAAATATTGTGAAAAATGTCTATTGGGGAATCACATCAGTAGTAGTTGCCTGTTATGTTTCACCTGGACACATATTCAATGCACACAAAAAAATATGGTGTGCAATTTTTTTACGTTTCATTGCAGTTATTTACATCATTTTCTGCAAATCTAAGGCCTTTCTCTCCTATTTATTGTCTAATGTTAAATAGAAATGTTATATGTAGATATATATCTGTATTTACTTTTTAAATCTGTTATAACCTATTTCTATATATGAATGTTATATTTATTTCTATGTCTTAAATTTATATCTAGACCAACATATTATGTCTAACTCTTACATCTTATATCTAATAAATATATTTTAGGTCTAAATATATATACATTACATTTAAATAATGAACCTGAATATATATATTCAGCCCACCGTTCCTCCTCATCCCCAGTGGCCTGAGGGTGTGACCACTAACTGAGCTGTAGAGGCTTCTGTCCTACTGTTACCATGGCCAATAACATTATCTTTGTGCCTTTGAAGAGGGCTTCTTATGTACACATGCAAAACACAGAGTATTTAAGATGCCAGGTTTAGTTACCCAACTGAAATGATCTGTCTGAAATTGAAAGGTCTGAGTAGAGCAGAGATGGGTAGGAAAACTCAGAGTATCTGCTTACTAATCAGGGTATGATGACAATTCATTCTGAAACAAGGCCCTGCAGACAAAAATATTTAAAGCTCTACTCAGATCAAGGTTTAGGTCTCTATATTGATATAGCTGATATTGATTATGTGATGTTAATCTAGGTTTTGCTGCAAAAAATTGTTTTATTTGATAAGAAATAAAAACTGGTTAAAAGGGCTACAATCCCAAAGAAAAAACATTAAAAAAAGATAACCAAAGCAGTGATTTTATACATTTAATTCATAAAAACTTTACAAACTGCATTAAAAATTGAAGACTGTCAACTAAAGCAAGTACATTTCTCTTAGCTGGTGTTTTTTAAAAAAAAAACAGCCCCTTTGACCAAAATAACATTACCTATCAAATTATTTTTTGTAAAAGGGAAACAAATAATAGAACCAACTCTTCATGCCTCTGTTTACCACACCGTTACTCATCCTGGCATCCATTCTTATGTCTGCATGAAGAGTGAAAAAGATAAATATGATCTTTTGTGCTGTTTTAGTACAAGTGTTCTAATAATTGTCTCAAATCATTATGATATGATTCATGATTAATCTTGACTGTTATGCAGACGATTCCAGCTGAAGTTGGGCAGTAGAGTTAAGGACATCTCTTGGAAGACTTTCTCTGGCTTCCTGCAGCCTTTTATGGGCCCTCTGGTAGGCCTCTAATAGGAAACAAGCAGATGCAAAAATATTACAAATCACTTTAAGAAAACATGCTTTGCAAAATAGCATCAAACTGATTTCTAAACACCTGAAATTTAGCAATAAAAATGTTTGATGACATAATGCAACCAAGACAAAGGCTAATCTGCTTCTAATAATACATTATTTTAGATTATCCCAATAAAAATCATTAAAATGGTGAATGGTTAAAATAAAGCTTACAGTGCACAACTATTAACCATTGAAAGAATAACTTTTATGTCACCACTAATTTGACTCTGGGAGCTAACTGTTACACAGAATTGATTGCTGATGTGGCCATGTCATTTCTGTTGCTTTATATGCACTTAGAAAACGCTTTCCAACACACTAGGAAGGGACGGTTTCAGCAAATTAAATCACTGATTCTCCAGGATCAAAACTGAAATTCTACTTTAGCGTTTTGTTATGTTTTTTACCCAGGATGCTGCAGACCGTTCCTTGTTGGCTAAAGCCTCCAAGCTGGTCCACCACTTTCTGCCTTCTTTTCTTCAGGTGGGCAGCATCAACAAAGGCCCTGAACAAATCAAACATGCAAACATTAAAACAGACTTTCCATTATTTTTTAAATTTTATTTAATTCTAATATTAAAACATCTATCGCATGTAGACGTTTAATCTGACATTTAACCTTTTTTTTTATTGCACTCATATAAACATTAACAGTTAAAAGCTGGAGTTTTCCTCATTTGCATGTTTGTCGAAATAGTATTGTCTGTGAAAATATATTTCTTGTATTTCTGTCAAAAGTAAGCATTTACCTGGCTTGTTGGATGCATTGCAGACTAAAAGTAACACTTCCTGTGGTTTCTGTGGAAAAGCCGAAGCGACTCAGCCTCTCTCCCTGAAACCAAGAAAAAAAAAATTGTCTTTAAACATCTTAACATTGATGGTTTTAAAAATTGTAGTTACTTTTATAGATGTACACAGCTTTAAATAATAAACAAACACTACACGTGAACAAAGCAGTTTCCATTCAAACTTCCTCTTAGAAGACATTAAGTAATTTAAAGGCTGTTGATCCATTTCAATCAAACATACAACTGAAGGATATCTCCCACCTTAAACTGGACTGTTTGCATTTTGTAATTTTAGAGTCTACCTTAAATGTCCCTGGTATTCTGACGTAGCTGCTGTCTTCAAGTTCTGCAGAACCTCCAATGAAGAAGCGCCTCAAAGCAGAGACTGTCCCCGTCTGAACAGGTCTCCACGTGTGACAGGTCACCGTGTGCCTCCCTGGCACACATACACACAACCAGGACAAAACACTTCATTTCTAAATCACATCCTGCAGTAGTTAATTTATGCTATGATAAAATATTTAATCACATTTAGGCTCTGTAGTTTAATGAGTACGGATATAGTACGGTGAAATCTCCATCACCAGCTTACATAGGAGGCGTCTTACCAGGCATAGCGGGGAAAAGTAGATAGCCATAACCTTCAGTTCGATAACGCTGCCAGGAGTCAAGGGACAGGACTTTAAAATAAAGCGCTGGCCACTGAGGAATTAACTCTGCAATTACAAAAACACATGTATGGGTCAGTGCAACTTATAGAAAAAATGTTTAATCAAGATTTCTGAATGTACAACTGATACTCTAACGGGGGGACGTTCAGAGACAGTCTGTATTTAACATCATTACCCATTTTTATGTGCTTTATTGCACTTATAGCTAAAACCTGCATGAGTTTTAGCTAAACATATTCTAAGCACAGCTAAAGCAGTGTTTGGCTAATAATTCCCAAAATTAAAACTTTTGCTCAAGTTTTCATTGACAGTTCATATATTTTCCACTGGTTTTCCTGCATCATAGTTTTTACATTGGAAAATGTATGGAAACATGGAGTTAAGACAAATTAAGCAGATTTGAAAAGTCCCACCAGACATTACAATGGTTTTGTTTTCTAGCAAAGTGCATGTCCATAATCTCCAGACATCCAGTTCATATGTAAAAACAACAAATGAGGTTTGTCGTAATCCTCCTTTTAGGGCCCATTTGAAAGAAATCCCGCCAAACGCACTGCATGCATATGGAAGGGAGATACAAACAGCACATGAATCTGTATTATTAGATATTAATGTTTGTGCAGATGGGATTATCATCCCTTGTTTTAAACAACAATTATGTGCTCTGTATGCGGAACCCAAAACCGTCTTTATGACAAACCTTTGCTGGGGGGCTACTTACCTTCACTTTCTTTTTCACTCATGTAA